GATCGTTTTTCTTCGTCAGTTCGCTTTTTCTACCCTCGCGACGTTGTCAGAACTCATCCTCTCACATAACTACATTTCTTACATATCAGAATATGCTTTTTGCGGTTTGGAAAGTTTGGATTTCCTCGAACTGTCAGGAAACCGCCTTTCTGTATTTCCGATGCCGGCCATCAAGTTAATCCCCAGTAAACACCTTCATTTGATTACAATTCGATTAAACAACATCAGTGACATACCGAGAGACATCAAAACAGTGCGTCCGGAGACCTCTTACGATTTGCGAGGAAACCCTTTGCGTTGTCCAGATGAAACAAACAACACAGAGTGTGCAAGCGTGTTTTTGGCCTATCTATATATAATCAAAACAAGAAATAATCGGTCTTTTGCTAATAAAGTAATATTTCTAAAAAAAACATTTAAATACTTTGGCATCCATCCCTGCATCTTCAAGGTATTTGAAGACACCAACATACTAACAGAATTAATGAAAGAAGTTGTACCTACTAGTAGTGTAACCAAGGCTGGTTCACTCTATGATATAATGTTTCGTTCCGCTAACTCATACTACTGGAGCACCCCAAATGGACGCCTCAAGCTTACCAGTTTGGCCGACGTCAGCATGATGAAAAACTTACCAGTAAAGGATTCAGGTGTATACACCTTTGTAGCGGACAAGGGTGACCTAAAAGCTAAATTTGATATTGTTTTGTGCGTGGTTAAGAAAAACAATGAGACACGGCAACACCAGGCGACAACAAATAAAAACAAACTAGACAACTGTCCCACTTTTAGAAACAAGTCCTGTTGTTCACCTGGGTATCGTTTGGGGTCAATGGATCAGAAGTTCTGTATTTCTGGCAACGTTACATCAGAAACCCCAAATTCAGGTGGACCCAACGTTTTGTTGATCGTTGTCATTACCGTTACTGGTTTACTCACGATACCCATTCCTACTATGGTGTTATATTGTAGAAAGTGTTCGAGTGGTAACCGAAAAAACACTAACCCGTCTACTGCAACATTTCATGCGGGATTGCAAGCTATGGTTGCTTGTGTTCCTGCCGTACCCAATGTATATCACATAGAGGAAGAACTCGATTTGAACACTTTCTCCCGACGACGTTCCCAACTGGTCAAAACGCCGTCAGTTACAGAGGCACGATGTCGTTCCCAGTGCATGACTCAAACCGCTGCTGCGGACACGGCCCTTACTACACAAGCAGAAATCCATCAGTACAGTAACTATGATGCACCCGAACATTCTGCAGACACTGAGGAGGGACAAGATCACCACTACGCCTCTGCGGCACCGCCCCCTCTGCCTGTGTGTGACGATGAAGACAACTCAAGTCCTGGGGCTACAGGTCCGTACCCGCTACAAGCAGCACATTCTGGGGACACTGAGGAAGGACAGGATCACCTCTACGCCTCTGAAGACAACCTAAGTCCTGAAGCTACAGTTCTGTACCCGCTACAATCAAAATCTGGACAAATTGACAGTCAAATCGATGAAATTGAGTCCGATGAGGAAGAAACGCCGTACGGAATGGCAACAGAAAATCCAGTGTATGATGGCACAAACCTAAGTCAGATTAACCCAACTCCACCTTACTGTGCGGTAGATTCGAACCAAGTCGAAACGAACTCTTCTGTTTCAAGAAATAGTTTGTATGGACGGCAACCTGAAAACACAAACCTAAATCAGGGTAACCCAACTCAATATTACTGAGCGGTAAATGTGAACCAAGTCGAAACGATCCCTTTTATTTCAAGAAATAGCCTGTATGGACAGCAACCCGAAAACATTACCGCGACACGTAACAATACTGCAAGGGACTTGGGCATCCTCGATGGAAGTTGTCTAGAAACGGACGAGTGACCACTAAGAGAATTTCTATTATATCAATAAAATTACAGATAATTACCTTCACCAGAAAATAAGTCTTGTAAATATCACACTTAAACCTTTATTAAAAACTAGACTATATGATAGTGAAGCATATATAGCATGTAACTTAATCAACATACTTATAAGTCGTTCTGACACTGTTGGATTTAAAATAAAAATCCGTAATCATAAGATGTACACATGCCACTTCCCTTGTAACTGTAGGCTAGGACTCGAAGGAGCAACGTCATGTTCTTCGCCCTCCTTGGTATCCTAAAGATCCTTGATGAAAACTTCTACTTTGACAAACGTTACTGTCTGTTTTCTATACAACGATATTAAAGAACAAACGGTGTCAAACTTGTGAGCTGTCTTGAGAGATTTTTTCCTGCCTTTAAAGTGTTTTTAGCTTCTAGCTGGTACAAGTAGAATCATCGATTGGTTTACACGAAACTGCCGATAGTATTACCAGTTCTTAGTTGTTTTTTTTTTTTATATTTCAACGTGCAAGCAATACAATACATAGTGGCGACGGACTCAAGCAATGTGCTTACTTAGATATTTACGTCATCACCTGACATAAATAAAAAAAAAATTACATCACAAAAAAAACATGGGAAACGTCCAGGTAACAAGAAAACAGAGTTTAACTATTAAGATATAAATCAATACATACCTATAAATGAGTTATTAAATCACTAAGTTTCAGAAAGATATAGCTTTGAAATAGTGAGTATTTGAGTACAGATCGTAGGATACGGCAATAATGAGTTGAGTTCAGGCAATAAACTATACCACGTTCAGTGAATACAACTGTTAGTTTAAGCCAAAAAGCAGTTACTCAAGTAACTGGATATGATTTTGGAAACGGTCAGACGTATCCACTAGCTATCGTCAGCGACACTGACGTGACTGAGTCACTGACGAAAGCTAGTGAATACTAGCTGAAACGTCTGACCGTTTCCAAAATCATCCAGTTGCTTGAGTAACGGCTTTTTGGCGTATCGTATTACCTGGATGTCTAACCTTCATCGACGTAACTGTTATTATGTTTCATCATTAACATACACAATGCATGGAGTGGCCCGGGGCTGCTATGGATAGTGCGGTTGTTTCCCAGACAATAATCTTTACCCTCTGGTACTTCCTCGAACCCATCACTGTCGTCATGACGTCGGAAATGGAACTGTCACCTTGGGGTACCAAGAAGGATATACACATCATGAATTATCTAAAAGGTGCAGATTGCTTGCCTCTGGGAGAGTGTTTTTTTTCTAATGTTTTTTTTTTATTATAAAAGAAGCGCATTAAAGGAAATGCAGGACAGCGACGGAGGTGCACTCAAGCCACCCCCATAGCATTTTAGGAAGGACTCAAGTGCAGTATGCTAGGTGCTGTAAATAAAGATGGTCCAAAATGGTCACTTTTAGTAACGAATTCTTGAGTGAGACACATAATTTCATTAAAAAAAATTGAACATAAAGTAAAAAGACCCGTGAAGTAAAATTAAAGCTGGGAGAGTGCTGCGGCTAGATTCCATTCATTGTTTCTCCTCAAGACCTTCAGATTCAAGAACATATCGTATGGAACCAAACACATTGTTTTGCCATGAACATATTACCTTAGCCTTGTGAGCATAATGTGATAGAACTAGCCTCTACCAAGCCTTCCTGTGGGGTTACGGATCGTATGATACGGCAAAAAAGGAAATAATTGGACATGAGAGTCAACCAACGAGGGGGGTGGGAGCAATGAACTGTTTAGTTACCAAACTTCACGGACTATTTGTGTTAAGGGTGGTGGACCCAGGGCCATGGTAGTCAGAATGGAAAATATTGAATTTGTATGGCAGACCTGTTTGCACACTGCTACGTGTAAAAGGCAAAGTACACAGGTTCGGACCAATGACAGAGGGTTATTTTGCCGCAATGCACCACTTGACACTCGATAAAAAACAATTTCTTGCCGGGCCTCCTTCATACGCACGGACCTTCCAACGTCGATATCAGGTGAGTTTCCACATACTTAATTTTGCACAATCCATGAAGAAACTCTTGGATCTCGATGTTTTTTTTTTATTTAAGTTCATGAAGCATGGTTGTTTTGTTCCTTGTTCTTAAAAAAAGAAATATGTGAAATTGAGTGTTTCCCTTGTAATTGGTCGTTCATTCCTTTTGTTTTAACAGCACATTACTGTTTCGCAACGCAACATGGAGTCCATCGTTACAGTCATCATCTTTGCTTTGTTTGCCACTAGTTTGGGAAAAATCGCTGATTATACCGCTGATTATACAGGGAAAAACTTAACACAAGTCCCGATAGACTCCATCGCGCCTGAAACCCACACACTAAAGTTGTTAAATAACCAAATAACCAACCTAACCTTTTTTAATAAAACTCTCGAAATACGATACTTTTTTATCGACAACAACAAGGTGAATCGCATTTTACCACAAACGTTCCAAGGACTTCATGAGCTAGTCTACCTTGATGTGGACAGAAATGAGATATCTTCTCTTCGTCAGTTCGCTTTTTCTACACTCACAACGTTGTCAGAACTCATACTCTCTCATAACTATATTTCTCACATATCAGAATATGCTTTTTGCGGTTTGGAAAGTTTGGAGTTCCTCGAACTCTCAGGAAACCGCATTTCTGTATTTCCAACGCAGGCCATCAAGTTAGTCCCTACTAAATATCTCTATTTGGTTTTGCTTCGATTAAACAACATCCGTAAAATTCCGAGAGACATAAAAACAGTACGTCAAGAGACGATTTGCGAGGAAACCCTTTGCGTTGTCCAGAAGAATCAAACAATACGGAATATGCAAGCAGGTTTGTGGCCTATTTTTACATGATCAAAACACGAAATAATCGATCCTTCGTTAACAAAGTAATCTTTGTCAAAAAACGATTTAAATCCTTCGGCATCCATCCCTTCATCTTCAAGGTATTTAAAGACACCACCATTTTAACAGAAATAATAAAAGAAGTTGTACCTGGTATAACAAAAGATGAATCATCGTTTGACATAATGTTACCTTCCGCTACCTCATACTACTTGATCACCCCGAGTGGACGCATCGAGCTTACCAGTTCTGTTGACGTCAGCATGATGAAAAACTTACTAGTAAAGAGCTCAGGTGTATACACCTTTGTAGCGGAAAAAGATGACTTAAAAGCCAAATTTGATCTTGTTTTGTGTGTGGTTAAGAAAAACAATGAGAAAATACAACACCAGACGACAACAGTGAAAAACAAACTAGACAACTGTCCCACTTTAACAAACAAGTCCTGTTGTTCACCTGAGTTTCGTTTAGGGTCAATTGATCAGCCCTGTGCTCCTGGCAACATAACTTCAGAAACCCCAAATGTACGTGGACCTAACGTTTTGTTGATCGTTGCCATCACCGTTCCCTGTTTCCTTACGGTACTCATTCCCACTGTGGTGTTGTGTTGTAGAAAGCGTTCGAGTGGTAACCGAAAAAACAATAACCCGTCTACTGCAACATTCCATGCGGGATTGCAAGCTATGGTTGCCTGTGTTCCTGCCGTACCCAATGTATATCACATAGAGGAAAAACTCGAATCGAACACTTTCTCCCAACGACGTTCCCAACTGGTCCAAACTCCGTCAGTTACAAGGGAGGCACCATCTTGTTCCCAGTGCATGACTCCAGACCATATTGCAAACACGACCCTTACTACACAAGCAGACATCCATCAGTACAGTAACGATGATACACCCGGACATTCTGGAGACACTGAGGAGGGACAAGATCACATCTACGCCTCTGCGGCACCGCCCCCTCTGCCTGTGTGTGACGATGAAGACAACCTAAGTCCTGGGGCTACAGGTCCGTGCCCGCTACAAGCAGCACATTCTTGGGACTCTGAGGAAGGTCAGGATCACCTCTACACCTCTGAAGACAACAAAAGTCCTGAAGCTACAGTTCCGTACCCGCTACAATCCGAATCTGGACAAACTGACAGTCAAATCGATGAAATCGAGTCCGATGAGGAAGAAAGGCCGTACGGAATGGCAACAGAAAATCCAGTGTATGAAGATACAAATCTAAGTCAGAGTAACCCAACTCCACCTTACTGTGCGGTAGATTCGAACCAAGTCGAAACAAACCCTTCTGTTTCAAGAAATAGTTTGTATGGACAGCAACTTGAAAATACAAACCTAAATCAGAGTAACCCAACTCAATATTACTGTGCGGCAAATGCGAACCAAGTCGAAACGACGTCTTCTCTAGGAGTACTAACATCCAAATTTTAATGACTATCAGTCCATCTTGTTCACGGAGTGGCCTAGTCTAGGGCCCAGCAGACTGATGCAAGTCTCGGGCCTAGTCTCGCGTTCTCGCGAGACTAGGCCACTCCGTGAACAAGATGGACTTATCCTCATCGAAAATTTGGAGGTTAGTGTCTTACCTTTTAAAAACTTGTCACTGCTGAAAGAATAAGTAACTGAAAGAAAGTCATAAGAAAAAAAAATTGACGCTTTCAAACATGTTCATTCTGTTTTAGCACTAGTCTTAATTTAGAATTTATTTATCGGGGTTTATATATAAACCTACCTGAAAACTATTTAGAAAACAACCTGTTTACAAGAGATTATGTAAATATTTCCCAATGAATGCAGTGGAAAATGAAACACATTATGTTATCCAGTGACCTCATTATAGGAGACCGACAGAAACAGGTTATTTCAGACAGTTACAACAATTTCTCCATCCTTTCATCATTTAGAATATCACCAAAAGACTACGTTTCTACTAAGATCACAAAACCCACTCATTATGCAAAACGTGGGACTATTCATTATTCATTGCCTTTAAAGAAGTCAAACCTCATAATAGCAAGCGTAGTATAGTGGAAGTTTTTTTCAGACATAGTTGTCTGACTTCCAATATTTTAATGAGAAGTTTATTATTATTGTATTGTACCTAATAATATCTTTGACTGTAAAAGCAACTAGCCTTCGGGCATGATTTTGCGAATGAAGTCAATAAACTTGTAGTATACTCCAGTACATTTGACTTTCTCTCTTGCTTCTTAGTAATGATGGAATATAGTAGGCTGTATGATTAGTTAGAGTTTCATTGTCAAAGGCTATACAAATTATAATTTCCTTGTACCATTTAAATTTACAAAACCGGGAGAATTTACCTAACTGAAAAGACTAATTAAATTGCTATCACACAAAGGGCAATTGAAGTTCGAAGTCAAACGTCATTTAATGTCTAAAATTCATCGTTTAGCATTATTGAAATAAATATTTATATCATTGGTCGAACAGTAACCGTGCAATCGCAGCCTTTTATAGCTCTGAATTGATACAGGGTTTACAATCGGTTTACAATCATATTAGATTCAGTCAATAATCATAATAACATAATACAGATGATACATATACATGTAAAATATTTTCTCTACACACTTTTTTGTGGAATTGTCGCAAGGTGACGACTTTCTCCAACCAAAGTTAGGTACCATTCACACCTGGGTGGAGTAGGGAAAGTCGTGTAAAGTGCCTTTTCCAAAGGCACAACGTCAGGGCACATGTCCAGTCATGTCCCGGATACAATTCGGGATCGAACCCGGGTCTCCCAGTTTCATAGTCGAACGCTCTACCTCTACGCAATCCGACGCCAGGTATTCCGTAATCTAACACTGGATTGTCCCAAAATCATACCGTCCACACATTCGTTTTGCTAGACACACCATTAGTACAGAAACATTCCAAAATAAGTCATTTTCAAAGCCTTATACTAAAACAACTTAATTTACCGTTAAGCATTGCCAGCGTTTGACCGTTAAGCGTTATCGGTTCTTCTAAATTAACCGATAAGTGCTGTCGGGAACCCCCATGAGGATCCTCCTAGTGAACTGAAGGTCTTAAAGATGGAGCTGTGGCCCTGACAGCGGACATCACATATGGCCTGACGTCATGATCTGGTATATGCCATATATGGGCACAGGGTAACGTTATACTCGTTGCTAGGCTACCATTGAGACAACATATTGGTCCCTGATAGGTCGTCACTGATGGTAATACATGTAAAACATTGATTTACTTTATACCTATTTTTGCATCCAAGTTGGCTAAAAACAACATGGTTCGGTCTTCATATTCATAGGAAGCTAGTATTTATCAGACGCTAAAAAAGAGTAACAGGCAAATATTTAGCAGAAATTTCGGCAAATAGAGAGAATAATGTACTGTCGCATGGCGACGTTGCAACGACGTTGGTTTCCATTGGGCAGATCCGTGCTGGTAATATAATGACCCTAGTATGGTACTAAACCATTCCCCGAGGTATACCATAGTACCATACCATACCATACCATACCATACCATACCATACCATACCATACCATACCATAGTATGGTTTACAGCTCAGTCACGCCACCTGTCATCCTCTAGGGAACTGCATTCTTTTCACTTGAGATTTTCCGGAGTTCTTACCAGAGATGTTACGACCTGAGGGTGTTCTTCAGCTACAAAATAGTAAACGTTACACCGGTCCAATGAAAATGAATTTGTGCAAACCAGGCCTTTATATGGAAATCAGGACTTACCAATTACTTTATGCAAATAAGAGACTTGTTTGCATAACCAATGAGAAACGACTAGTCAGTCATAAAGTTTAGCAACCTTAGATGGAGAAATGATATCGTGGAACTCTAGTTCCAAGATGATTGAACTTGATTTTAATTATCGGACTGTATAAATAAAGATACGTGTATACAGCCAGGAGTGCCCAACTAGCCAGAGACTATTATAAAGGGCTAGCCCTAACAGCAAGACAGCCGGAAAGCCACGTCGAGAGTTCTATGCGTTTCTCTTTTCCTTCCGCGAGAGAAAGTAGTCCGTTCCACGGCTCCGGGCGTCAACACGCCTCACAAGAAAGTTTACCGCGGGCTTATGCAACCACATATCTTCCTTGTTGTAACTTATTTATAATATTTAGACTTGCTAATTTGCTCCCAATTAATTTTTGAGCCGAGAATGTACCTTTCCCCTTTCGATATCATGACCTGAAATTAGGCAATTTTAGTGCAATTTCCCCGTGTAGTTTCGCCTTGATGCAGACTTCGCACCAACAGGAAATTTGTTGGGTATGAAAGAGCAAATCGTAAGCTTTCTGGTAGTATTTGACTTATATTCGATTTCGAGGGCGAAACGGGTTTCCCCCCTAATTCGTTGAGGCCATGTCACGGGAGTAGGCAGAAATTTACACCAAATAGAACGCGCATCCCTGGCGCGCCGGCCAGCTACGTGTGTTCTACGGAGCGCGCTTCTCTCCGATCCCCTGTTTTGATATACATCGCTATATTTAAATCCCCGTCAACCTACGTCTAAACTAGTTTTAGTTAGAGACTACGGGGTGTTAATTTATCTTATATCTAAACAGGTTATTTTATTTCGCACTGAATATAATGACTCCGGGCCCTTGATAAGTTGATTGCCAGCGCTGTGGCCAAACTGAAACGCGAAACCAGATCTCAGAACCTGCGCTGGGAAATATTATACTCTTGAGTGGCGGAGCTTTCTGACTTTTGAAAAACGCACATCTAATTAGAACTATTAGAACTGGAATACATCAAGCATCCAGTCATGATTGGTGGGAATTCAAAGAACTGTTCCGTTTTTCTCGATTTGAATGGCACTGGCCATGGGTTTGAACAGTTAGAAAAGTTATATTTATCGACCTGCTGGCTCAGTAAAATTTAGCCTATGGAAGATAACTCAACGCTCCTGGTCCCTAGTCAGGACAGTGCAACATGTATGCTGTGACACAAGATTATAGGTAAGTTTATCCTGGATCTCTGTTATCCAATCTACATGTATAGTCCGTGTGAACTGCTTACTAACAACAGGACCTCATGTCCCTAGTTTTACACAGGGGCATGTGTTTATTTCTAAAAGTGATGGGTGTTGTCAAATCCCTAAACACATCCCTCTCATATACATCTTAATTGTTCTTTATATTAATCAGTCAAGTACACACAAAATTACCGAAGAGCCATTAACGTTTCTTCAACCGTTATCTCATTTAATACCATACAAATAACAAAGTAGACAGTAGTACATTTTGTTGTGGATTGGTATAAAGATACTTTATACAAAAATCTTGTTACACAGTACATTCATTATTTAGCATAAGTTACAGTAGACATTGAATACTGAATCATACATTAAATATATGCTCCCAAATCATATTAAGTAGTGTAATAAATGGGGGTTCCGACCTCAATACACAATATGCATACACACACGCACATATTATAGAGAGATTGATAT